GCTTGCCGGCCCAGGGGCTGAGTTTGGTCTGCGAGGGTTTGGACCTCGGTGCAAGACCCGGCAGGAGGAGGCACTGCAAGAAAGCTCTGACCCAGAGACACAGACTTGCCCTAAACAAAGAAAGCAAGATAAACTTGAGCCTGTTCACACAGCAGAGCAGTTCACACGGACTGACCGTTACACGGTGTGGAAAACTTTGGGCCTTTGCTTTTAGAAGTCATTTACTCTGCTGCATGGTGATGTTGGAGTAGAGGGACTCCAGCAGGAAGATGTCTGTCCATGGCTTCTCTCCCACCTTCCGTGTGCAGGAGGAGGAATGGTGGCAGTCTTTGTGGGAGGAGATGGATGGTGGAAGAACCTGGAGCCTGTTTGCAGCATCCTGACCTCTTTCTAAGTTAACCTTCCCCTCAAGCCTAGTTACTTCTAGGAGCTGCTTTGCATCCAAAGGTTTTTCTTACAAAGGATGCTCTTTCTGCATGAGTTGGCTGGAGCTACTTGGATCCCTTTGCTGTCATGACCAAAACGGGTTACTTGAGATCTTAAGTGGACACTGGTGAGATGGGCAGAGGCTCTCTGCTCCTCCAGGGAGCAATTTCATGTCACAGCAATCCCACGGGCTTATTTTCTTCAGAAAGCAGAAACGTGCAGTCCAATTTCAGCTCAGCATCAACTGCAAGCAGTTCTTTAGCTAAAACGCTTGCACATTTTGCTTGTATGGGCTGAACAAGGATGCAAAGCAAGTAATCAAGACCTTTGGGGTAGCTGGAGGTGGGACTTTTTTTTTTCAGTAGTCACTTAAGTAATTGAGTAGCTCTGCTCTTGCTGGTGATTTCAGGGCTTCTCAGCTTTCTCCTGCACTTCCCGTGCTGTGCTCCAGAGAGTGCTGTTCGCCCAGACGGAGAGATCCAGCCCCTTGCACCACAGCCAAATGTCTGGGTGTGAGTAGTACATGACACATTTTTCTGTGCACAGGATGAACCAGCCAGGGGCAATATTCATGTGCCCT